ATAATCCACTCTAGCTCTCATACCATGCTGATATAACCAAAGGATCTAGTAGATAGGATAGGATCTTTTTAAGTCTGAGAGGAGACAACGAAGTCTCTGAAGTGACCTTGTTGAATAATAATTGAAAGAGAACAAGATGATTAAAAGATAGGAGTACAAGGGATTAAATAGAAATCTTGCTTGCCATGTACTCTGAGGGGTACATTCCCTTATTAATTGTATTGCATAGCTATAGTAACCGCGACTATTGCTATCCTCGACAGTCCTATCCTATCTAATGTTGGAACAATTAAACTAAGCGCCTCTGTCGTGTCGAAACACCAAGACACAAGCAAAGCAAAACATTATCGAAGCACCAGCGAGTCAACCCTCGGAGGTTGAAGTAACTGTCGGAGGTTACGCAAAAGTCAAAGGTCAGCGACCTTCGACCTGACAAGTACAGCGCGACAGCAAGGACACACAACTGACTCGTTACAGAGCAATTGCACGAGTCGTCACTGTATCGAACCGCAACAGCAACAGTAAAGTAGTTATAACTGTGTCTTTTCATATTCCCTTTTTTCAGATATAATCTTGTATCTCTTTGTTTTAATCAATCAACTTTGCCCTCACATACTAGCGCAAGGTGGTTCACAACTCTTCATTAAACGCTTCCGCTTCTATATCAGTTATACCCAAAGTTCACCCCTGCAAAGATCCTAAGGGCTATTTTTTTCAGCCCAACATGGTATGAGAGCTATCAGGAAGAATTCAACTATCAAGACACCTACAACATGAGAAGACATGGCTACTCAGAAGGAAAGGAGTTCCTCTATTGGTTCTCCCGGCACTACTCCTACTCCACCTCCTGCCTCTGGCCTACAGACAGAGGAGGGTACGGCAACTAGACCAAGGGCAACATCCACCGAGACTCCCACAAATCAACCTGCAGGCTTCGACCAGAGCATGATGGAGAAGTTTTTCTCCTTCATGTCCTTCTACGAGCAACACCAGCAATCGGTGCCTGCGCAGTCACACAACAGCAACAACAACTACGACGTGACTCCAATGAGCCTTGATGGTTCATCCTACGCACGTGGAAATCAACAGCAGCAACGTACCTTTGCTCCGTACGAGCCCCAGCGCGGTTCCGTCAGCTTTATGCCACAACCGCAGCCTGCATCTGGACAAGAGAAGACACTGGACGCATTACAAGTTCAGTCGTAGTTCGCGCACGTTCTGAAGTTGCAGACATCAAGACCTTTCGACGGAAAGGACTTCTTTACCTGGTCATTCGAGTTCGAGTTGATGATGGAAGGCGCGCAAATCCTCGGCTTCTTCGACGGATCCCTGCCATACCCAACAAACGGCACACAGTACAAGAAGCAGCAGTACACATATCAGTTAATGATGGCGTACACAATCCTACTGAGGAATGTCACCCCGACTCAGCAACAGAATATACGGTCTTACAGGGGATACGGTAACTCCGCTGAGCTCGCATACAGCCACTTGAAAAGCCTGTACCAAGCAACAGACAGCGTAAGTCAGAGTCGACTAATGGCACAACTAACAACAGTCGAAATGAAACCAGGGGAAAAGGGGATGGCGTATATCAGTCGCTGTCGCGAATTGCGCGACAAGCTTCTTCGATGCGGAGGGTCGATATCTGAAGACGCCTTCGTGACACTCATCATTGGCGGCCTCGGTCCTCAATGGCGCGCCACAAAAGCCATTCTCCGAGCTCACGGAAGAATCTCCAAAGCAGCACTTTGCTCTGAAATTCATGCCGAGCAACAAGACATGGACCTGCAAGAAGAAAGGCACAAGAGGAAGACATCAGCACCGAAATTCGCTTTCCACACTCAGCGACGCTACAACAACAACAACCGACAACAACCAAGGCCCGTACCTCCGTTCTGCCACATCTGCAAAACGTCAGGACACCCACGCACACATTGCCCGAATCGACAACAGCCAGCCCCACCACAACGGCAGCTTTGACCCTCAAACAGCCAAGTGGCATCGACGCAGGCGAACCCCACGAGCTAGTCGCAGCCCTCAACAACACAATCTGCACAAGGAGCAAGAAACATTGTCAGCTGCATGGCAAAACTGACCGACTCCTGCATCACCGAGTCACCGCCGCACTACTCACCGGAAGAGCAACTTGACAACACCACACCTCGCCGCGAGTCACTCCAACCGAACCCGACGTACGCAGCCATCGCCCAAAGTGAGCCATCCGGGAAGGACACTTGGTTTTTTGATAGTTGTTGCGGACAGCACATGTGTTCTTCAGGACGTTTCGTTCAGCGCGAGCACCAACTTCAACGCGAAGTCGTCATTACCATCGCCAACAATCAGAACCTGCGCACACGACAAGGCGTGGTTCAACTTCAGTCTAGAGAGACAAATGTTATACTGCAGATGTCAAAGGTATTAATCGCGGAGGGACTCGGTTACAACTTACTGAGCGTCAGCCAACTGATGGCGAAGGGCATACACCTTGAAGCAGACAGCACCACCCAAGAATTCAAATTGTACCACGGGAGAGGAGGTCTTTATATCGGAAAGGCAATCTTGAAAAATAATGTCTTTGTCCTCGACTTCGTCCCAGATCTCGGCACCGCAGACAGTGACGGGATCGTCACTTTCACCTCCTGGACACATCCACCGGATCTCGACCCCGACTTCAGTCCAGAAGGCTTCTGGTATTCACATACCATTCCTGAAGCAGAAAGAACAAGAGCGTTAGCGACAATTCAACATTCGACAGCAGCAGAGACAACACCGACAGCAGCAAAGACGACATCGGCAGCAGCAGAGACAACACCAGCAGCAGCAAAGACGACACCAGCAACAACAGAGACGACATCGGCAGTAGCAGAGACAACACCAGCAGCAGTAGAGACAACATCGGCAGCAGCAGAGACAACAACAGCAGTGGCAACAACGACACCAATCGCTGGTCCTTCAACGGCACCAATCTTCACCGACGACACATCACCAACACCCGCGCAGCAGCTAACTCCGACTCAACGAGAAGTCCACCGAAGCGCCAACTTCACCGACGTCTTCTACTCCAATTCTGACATGTATCGGCGCTCACCCGGACATCGCGCCACCGAAGGAACCAGGCACGCAAGAATGGGTCACCCAAGTAATACGGTATTAAATAACACGATAAGAGAAGGAGTACTTGACAAGGACTCTCTACTCCTAACTGACGGCAAAGAACTTCAGCGAGCCCGTGGAACATGCTTCACCTGTCTCGAAGCTGACCTACCGCATCAACCATTCGTGCCTCACCACAACCCAAGCGCATCAGCTTACGCGCCACTCGAGAAGGTGTACAGCGACATCCTGTACAACCGAGAGCCTGGACAAAACGCGTACAATTACACCATCACCTTCATCGACGCAGCCTCTCGATACGTCTGGCACCTAAATCTTCCAAGCCGCGACATGGCCTTCGAAGCCTTCGTCGCCTGGCTTCCAGTAGCAGAACGAGAATCCAGAGTAAAACTCAAGAGCTTCCAGCCACACGGAGGGGGAGAATACACCTCACAGAGGTTCAAGGAGTACTTGGCAGAGAAAGGAATCAAGCGACTCATCTCTCTCCCCTACGCCCATCAACAGCAGGGTGTAGCAGAAAGGATGAACAGGACCCTCCAGAACACCATGCGCAAGCTGCTACGTGGCATGCACCTGCCCAACCACCAGTGGCCCGAAGCAATGGACCACGCCGTCATGCTGCACAACTTGCTCTCGTCATCATCGCTCCCGAACAACGCATCACCGCATCTGCTATGGACAGGAAAACTGGGCAGCACAAAAATGTTGAGAGTCTTCGGCTGCATGGTACAGTACCGGCCCCCATCTGCACGAGCTGGCCGATTCTCCCAACGCGCACAGTGGGGACTACATCTGGGCATCGAAAAATATTACAATGCATGGAAGATTTTCGACGTCGAGACAAAGGAAACAGTGGCAGCACTGTTAGAATATATCTGTAACTGCCTGTAGCTGTAGTTAGTGTAGTTATTATAAACTTGTTGGTGGTGCACCTTCTTTGCATGCTTTGTTTGCTATTTGTACCTCGCTCAATAGTGAACTCCCCACTCTTTGCCTAAACTCTCTCGACTCCCTTTGGCCTAGGCTACTAAGCCTAGGCCCTACTCTTACTATCTCAACATGGTATTCAGAGCAGGTACCTTCCTGCTGCCTTCCTTAACGAGCCCACCAATGTGCTTCCGCTGCCTATCATCCTGCCGCGCGCCTCGGGCGCGCGGCGTATTTTTCTCGCCGTGTGCTCGGGGCGCACGGCGGTTTTCTGCCCGCCGTGCGCCCTGGGCGCGCGGCGTCTTCCTGCCCCGCGCGCGGCCTGCCCTCACGCCGCCTGCGCGCCTGCCTCACGTCCACGCGCGGGCTTGTTTTGCCCGCCCGTACCCTCCACTTCGCGGCGCCCTGCGAGGCGCCGCTCCTGCTCGTCGGGACGCACCTGCGGGACCCGCGGCGTCGCCCTGCTCGACGCGACGCCCCTGCGGGACCCGCGGGGCGTCGCCACTGCTCGTCGCGGCGCCCACTGGACGCCGCCCCTGCTCGTCGCGGCGCCCCTGGGGCGTCGCCCTTGCTCGTCGCAGCGCCCCTTGGGCGCCGTCCCTGCTCGTCGCGGCGCCCCTTGGGCGCCGTCCCTGCTCGTCGCGGCGCCCTCCCCCCTGGCCACCGCCTCTGCCATGCACCAGCGCCGCCCCTGGAACAGCCGCCCTTGGACCCAGAGCAGCCGCCCCTGGACCCAGAGCAGCCGCCCCTGGCCCCTGGAGCAGCCGCCCCCGGTGCAGCCGCCCCTGGACTTCCGCAGCCGCCCTTGGCCCCTGGTGCAGCCGCCCCTGTTGCAGCCGCCCCTGGACCCAGAGCACCCGCCCCTGGCCCCTGGAGCAGCTGCCCCTGGTGAAGCCGCCCCTGGACCTCCGCAGCCGCCCCTGGACCCCGCGGCTCCGACCCTGCAGCAGCCCGCAATGCCGCCCCAGGGACCCCGCGAGCCGCCCCAGCAGCAGCCCACGGCGCCGGCCCTGCAGCTGCATGCGCCGCCGCTCCTGGACTCGGTACGGCTGCCTGCCTGTGGTGCCTGTGCTGCCTGTTGCTGCCCGTGCCTGTGCTGCCTGTTGCCGCCCGTTGCTGCCAGTGCCTGTGCTGCCCGTTGCTGCCTGTTGCTGCCCGTGCCTGTGCTGCCTGTTGCCGCCCGTTGCTCCCTGTGCCTGTGCTGCCTGTTGCCGCCCATTGCTGCCCGTGCCTGTGCTGCCCGTTGCCGCCCGTTGCTGCCCGTGCCTGTGCTGCTCGTTGCCGCCCGCTGCTGCCCGTGCCTGTGCTGCCCGTTGCCGCCCGTTGCTGCCCGTGCCTGTGCTGCCTGTTGCCGCCTGTTGCTGCCTCTGCCTGTGCTGCCCGTTGCAGCCTGTTGCTGCTCGTGCCTGTGCTGGCCGTTGCCGCCCGTTGCCGCCCATTGCTGCCCGTTGCCGCCTGTTGCCGCCCGTGCCTGTGCTGCCCGTTGCCGCCCGTTGCTACCCGTGCCTGTGCTGCTCGTTGCCGCCCGTTGCTGCCTGTGCCTGTGCTGCCTGTTGCCGCCCGTTGCTGCCCGTGCCTGTGCTGCCTGCTGCTGCCCGTGCCTGTGCTGCCTGTTGCCGCCCGTTGCTGCCTGTGCCTGTGCTGCCCGTTGCTGCCTGTTGCTGCCCGTGCCTGTGCTGCCCATTGCCGCCCGTTGCTGCCCGTGCCTGTGCTGCCCGTTGCCGCCTGTTGCTGCCCGTGCCTGTGCTGCCCGTTGCCGCCCGTTGCTGCCCGTGCCTGTGCTGCCCGTTGCCGCCCGTTGCTGCCCGTGCCTGTGCTGCCTGTTGCCGCCTGTTGCTGCCCGTGCGTGTGCTGCCCGTTGCCGCCCGTTGCTGCCCGTGCCTGTGCTGCCCGTTGCCGCCCGTTGCTGCCCATGCCTGTGCTGCCCGTTGCCGCCCGTTGCTGCCCGTGCCTGTGCTGCCCGTTGCCGCCCGTTGCTGCCCGTGCGTGTGCTGCCCGTCGCCGCCCGTTGCTGCCCGTGCCTGTGCTGCCCGTTGCCGCCTGTTGCTGCCCCTGCTCTGCTCCGCGCTGTTGCCCTGCATGCGCGGCTGCCCTGCCCTGCTCCGCGCTGTTGCCCTGCACGCGCGGTTGCTCTGCCCGTGCCTATGCTGCCCCTGCTCTTCCCCCTCCCCCTTCTTCGTCTCCCTGCTGTGCGTGCAGCCGTGGAACGGAGGCTATGGGGGTGGCGGGTATGGGGGTGATGGGTGTGTGTGATCCCCTTCCCCTCCTCCTCCTTTCTCTCCCACTGCTGCAGCTGCCGCTTGGGGGGGGGGGGGGGGGTGGGTGTGAGGGTGTGGGGGAGCTGGGGGAGAGGTGCTAGGGTTGTCGAGGAGTGTGGAAGGGGGAGTTGGAGGACTGAGGAAGGTTCCATGAAGCAGCCGCCTTGGAGCCAGCAGCTTCACCTGCCAGCAGCTTCTCCTCATATAGTCCCTCCTCCTCACTTGCCCTCTCCTTTTGCTGCGCTTGGTGTACCCCTTCAGGGGGTGTCTCTGCATAAGCTTCTGCTGCAGGCAGTTATGGGGGAGTGTTAGAATATATCTGTAACTGCCTGTAGCTGTAGTTAGTGTAGTTATTATAAACTTGTTGGTGGTGCGCCTTCTTTGCATCCTTTGTTCGCTATTTGTACCTCGCTCAATAGTGAACTCCCCACTCTTTGCCTAAACTCTCTTGACTCCCTTTGGCCTAGGCTACTAAGCCTAGGCCCTACTCTTACTATCTCAACAAGCACATGATGTCATCTTCTACGAAAACCTCACCCTTCGGTATTACCTCGCCAACTTGCAAGAAGGAAACCCCGATCGCTCCGATGGTTTTCTTGGCACCCGAGCCTTCGCCTCGGCAGACGATGAAGCTGACTGGGACGAGCAGAACATGGAAGGAGCCTCGGAAGAAGCCGGACCCCTCCCTTACTGCTCCGTCGACGTGCCAATGGATGACGAAAATCCACGCGAAAGCATCAACGCCGAAACCTATTACCACTTCGCCGACAACGGTTACGTTACACCTGCACAAGTCAACACCAACAAAGTAGAACGTGTAGGACCAAACTTCAACCCTACACCAGAAGCGGGAGACGAAGCAGTTTATCCCGAGGACACATCGCTTCCCCGCTACACACAGAGTGGCCTCCAGATACTTGGCCTGGTCACTACGGTCTACGGCACGGCCATTCCTAAAGAGCCTGCGACAGTTCAGCAGGCTCTGGGGGGGGAGCATAAGGAAAAATGGCACAAAGCCATGGACAAGGAGCTGAAAGCACTAGAGGAACGCAACACCTGGAAGGTCGTTCCTATCGGCGTAGCACGAAACAAGACAATTCTCACCGGAAGGTGGGTCTTCCGCGTGAAGACAAAGGCTGACGGCACCATCGAGAAGTTCAAAGCACATTGGGTCGTACGCGGCTTTGACCAGGAACACGGACGTGATTTCACCGAGACATTCGCTCCAGTCAGCCGACACACCTCGCTGCAAATTCTTCTCCCGATCGCCGCCATGAAGAGAAGGAAGCTACGACAAATTGACGTCGCCAATGCCTTCCTCTACGCACCCGTCGATGCAGAAATCTTCGTCGAGCTACCGCACGGCTCCAACGGAGAACCTAATCAATTCTGTCAGCTGCTAAAGTCACTCTACGGTATCAAACAAGCTCCAAGGCTGTGGCAGCAGTACCTACACGTAAGACTCACTCGCATCGGATTCCGCCAGCTACCTCACGACCAAGGCATGTACCGGCTCACAAAGGGAACCCACCACATCCTGCTAATCGTCTACGTAGACAATTTGCTCTATATTGGCTCAACCGATAGCGTCACTACCTGGTTCGAAGGGGAGTTACAAAGGGATCTCACACTCACGGTCTCGACCACCGTCACACAGTACCTCGGCCTCAACATCCAGGAAGAAGAAAATGCGATCTACCTCTGCGCCGCGAAATACGCCGACACCATCGCCAAGCGCTTCGCACTCACGCCGACCGTCATCTCCACGCCATACCGCTACACGGCAGGAAACCACAAGGAAGGCTCCGCTCTACTCAAGCCCGCCGGCATACGCGACTACCAGAGGAAGCTGGGATGCCTCCTCTTCGTAGCTGTCACCTGCCGCCCGGACCTATCGTACTCTGCAAGTCAGCTCGCCACCTACCTCAAGAAACCTGAAGTGGAACATCTGGCGGAGCTCGATAGCGCTCTTCACTACCTCGTCAGCACCCCGATAATCGGCCTGACCTACCATAAAAACACGGCTACGGCGCCTAAACTAATCGGCTACGTCGACGCCGATCACGCCGGCGACTCCGACAACAGGCGCTCCCGCACCAGCTACATCTACCGTTTTGAGCCTATCGGACCTATCTCCTGGCAGTCGAGCAAGCAAGAACTAATTGCTCTCTCCTCTGTCAGAATCCCAACCACTAGACCATTGGGATAAAAGGGCTTGTTTCAGTAGCGGGTCATGAGAAGAATAGAACGAGAATGAAATGACTATGAATGAAGTGGGTACAAATAGGAAACCCTAATGGGATTGTACCCCCTATGGGATACCCCACTATAGCCTACACAAATAAGTAAGCTATAATGTTCTGACACACCCCCATAGGCAAAGTGGGGGAGAACAAGGGGTCACAAGACCAGTCAAGCAAAGCAAAGCAAAGCTCAGGGTGGATCACAGAGTCACCACACATTCCGAGCACAAGTTCAAAGGCCAGAAGGCCAGGTCACATGCAAGATCACATATAGAGATATACAAGAGTCAAGCAAGCAAGAGCAAGAGTATATATAGGTAAAGGTACAAGCAAGGTCAAGAAGTGAGCAAGTGAGGCAAGAGAGGCACAAGACCCAGCTGCGTGCAGCAGCGCTGATGATCACAAGGCGCAAGTGCCTTGGTGAAGACATCAGCAGTGTTGGCCTCACAGGCCACGTACGCAAGTCGCAACTGTCCACGCTGCTGTAGCTTACGAGCAAGAAAGTCGCGGAGAGCAATGTGCTTTGTCCTGTGCTCCAGTCGCTGCTCTCGACACAAGGCCAGCATGGCTTTGTTGTCTACGTACAGGACTGGAGGAGAACGAGGCGGCTCTCCAAGGTCAGTCAGCAGGTAGGTGAGCCAGCGAAGCTCCTGGGCCGCCATAGCCCCGGCGTAGATCTCAGCCTCACAATTGGAGCCGAGAACAGAAGACGAGCGAATAGCCCGCCACGAGACAGAGCCAGAACCAAGGCTGAAGGTGTAACCCTGTGACGACCGCTGTGTAGCCTGGTCGTCAGCCCAAGAAGCGTCTGCGTGCCCAGTGAGGACCACTGGACTGCGCCCTCCAAGCACTAGCCCCATGCCCGACGTGCTGCACAAGTAGCGCAACACCCTCTTCGCTGCAGCCATGTGCTCTGGTCGGTGTCTCCTAGGAGCAACATAGCGTGCGAGAATGCTTAGAGGGTATGCAAGGTCAGGTCGTGTGCAGGTCATCAGGTACATGAGGCAGCCAACAAGCTCTGGATACAGGCCACTCGACTCTACGGACTCATCCGAAGGCAGAGCTGAGAGTGAGTGGCGAGTAGGCAGAGGAGTGGCCTGAGGCGAGGAGTACGTGAAGCCGAAGCGCTTAAGGACCTGCTGCACCATGTGTGACTGAGTCAGGGTAATGGTGCGCTGTGCTCTGTCGCGGGTGATCTGCAAGCCAAGGTAGCTGCGCAGTTCACCCAGGTCAGTGCACGTGTGTCTCTTCTACAGCTCGGACTTCACGTAGGCGAGTCCAGCAGTGTCAGCTGTGGCAAAGACCAAGTCATCGACGTACACGAGGATGTAGAACGGCGGCAGAGAGGTGTCGGTGCGCAGAAACAGCGACGGGTCTGCAGTGGAAGGAGCAAACCCAAGTGCCGCCAGCGTAGTCCTCACTGTGTCGTGCCACTCACGCGGCGCCTGGCGGAGACCGTAGACTGGACGCCGGAGACTCCACTGGGTACTAGGAGGGAAAGACCCAGTGAAGCCAGGTGGGCGACGCAGCCAGATCTCCTCGTGCAGGCTGCCCTGCAAGAAAGCAGTGCTGAAGTCGAGAGAGTGCAGCTCGTAGTCGCGGTGAGCAGCAACGTGCAGCAGTACCCGAAGAGTGGTCATCTTCGGGGTGGGGGAGAAGGTCTGAAAGTAGTCAACTCCCTGCCGCTGACTGAAGCCACGAGCCACGTAACGCGCCTTGAAGACAGACGGAGAACCCGGCGGCCGCTTCACCCTGAAAATCCACATGCCACTGACGATGTTCTCCCCAGTAGGGGGGACAGCGTCAACGTAGGTGCCTGTGGACTTCCAGGAAGCCATCTCTGCATCCATAGCTGCCTGCCACTGAGAGGAGTAGGGACCCTCTATCGCCTCCGCGTAAGAGCGCGGAGTCGGGATGTCTAGTGCATCCGGGTCTCCCTCAGGGGTGAGGAGTACAGACGCGAGATGAGGTGAAGCGGCGGCCAGACACTGGAACTCCTCCTGCCTGTCCTCTAGGACGTCCGTGCCAAGGGCACACTCACCCCCGACGGACGGAGGACAGGCAGACTCAGACTCAGCGACAAGACTAGCAGCGTAGTCTAGACAACAGCGCGCAGCAAAGTCGACGAGCTCAGTAACAAGGGCGGACGCAGCAGAAGACTCGAAAGAAGGGTTAGTGACGGCAGTAGCAAGGAGACGCGTGACAATAGGACTGGCAGCACGAAGAGAGTCCGACTCCGGGTCGGCAAGAGCAAGAAGAGAGGAAGCCGGAAGAGAAGGCAAAGGGGCACGCAGAGGAGCACTGGACGGACGCAGAGACATCCAGTGCGTGCCAGGGACAGGAGGAGGACGCTGACGCGAACCACGGCCACTTGTGCGCGCAGCACGAACAGGCGACGCAGGACGTGACGCAGGCTCACGACGCTCAGTAAGACCTCCAGTCGGACCAGTGTAGGGAGAAGGAGCAGGCAAAGGGGAGGCAGGCTGCAGCTGTGACTGTGACTGGACAGGCTGTGGACCCTCTAAGGGAGGAGGAGGAGGACCAGGAGAAGGTGTAAGACCAAGAACCCGCTGCAGGAGTGGAACGAAGAACGGTCGGAGTCGCGTGGCGACGCCAGAAACAGCAGGGACAGCACCAGTACCCCCAGCAGGAGTACCCGCTCCAGCAGCACCTCCAGTAGCTCCAGAATCCCCAGCAGCACCTCCAGCAGCCCCAGAACCTCCAGCAGCACCAGGAGCACTGCCAGTCGGACCGCCAGCGGTAGTCTCAGCGCCAACACGCTCAGCAGCACCAGCTCCAGGAGAACCCGCAGGCCCAGCAGCTCCAGTACTCCTAGTACGAGCACCTCCGGGACGCGCGGCAGCAGCACCCTCAGCAGCCGAAGAACCTCCAGCACCAGCAGCACGCCTCCAGCGCCGGGCAAACCACTCACGCAGCTCCTGTGGGGAGAGTGGCTCTCGGCGAGACGAAGCACCCGGACAACCTCCAGGCGAAGAACCTCCAGTCTCAGCACTCCCAGGCTCAGCACCCCCAGGCGCAGCACCTCCAGTCTCAGCACCCCCAGGCTCAGCACCCCCAGGCTCAGCACCCCCAGGCTCAGCACCCCTAGGCCTAGCACCCCAAGGCTCAGCCTCCCCAGGCGCAGCACCCTCAGACTCCGCACCCCCAAGCTCCGCACTCCCAGGCTCAGCACCCCCAGCAGCACCAGAGTCACCAGTGACCTCGACAGGCTCGACCGCGTCTAACTGGGACACACTTGAAGGGGCAGGACCCTGAGGGGGGAGGGGGTCTACCGGGGGGGGACCTGGTACCAAGAAGAGCGGGGGTGGGGGGAGGGACGGAGTGCGGTAGGGGAAGAGGCGGTAGTAGGGTACCGACTCGTCGAACGTGACGTCCTCGGAGGACAGAACACGGCGAGAGGTGGGGTGGTAAAACTGCCACCCAGGGGCGTCGGGGGGGAACCCCAGGAAGATGCAGGGAGCAGCGCGAGGGGACAGTTTGTCCGCAGACAAGTCGCGGACAAACGCCCGAGATCCCCAGACCCGGAACGCCGACGCATCGCCAACCTTCCCCGTCCACAGTAGAGCTGGGGAGGTCTCCGGCCTGGAGACCCTGGGGTGGAGGTTGATCTGATGCGCCGCGTACCTGACTGCAAACGGCCACAGAAAATAGGAGGCAGCCGCATGCATCATAGACGTACGAGCGACGTCCATGACCATGCCAATGCGGCGCTCTGCCATCCCATTTTGCTGCGGTGAGTCCGGAAGCGTGAAGGTCTGACGGATGCCTCGCGCACGACAGTAGGCACGCAGAAGGCCAGAGGAGAACTCTCCGCCTCTGTCCGAGTGCAGACGCAGCACAGGAAAGTCCGAGCCAAAGCTCTGCCTGAGCTGGAGACGAGCTGCGCGGATCCAGTCGATCAGCACCTCACTCACATCACCCTTGCTGCGCAAGGGGAAGACTGTGGTGTAACGCGAGTAGTCGTCAACCACCAACAGGAAGTAGCGCTCGTGACCGAGTCCACGGACGCGGGCAGGGCCCCACACGTCCATATGAAGCGTCTGCAACGGAGCCTCTGTCGGAGGAAACTGGGAGGAGTGAGGGGCAGCACGCTGGCGCCCCTCGACACAGGGGACACAGGCAGGGCCAGGGCCCTGAGGAAGGGGAGGGAGGGACCGGGGGAGACCAGACACAAGAAGACGGGAGGCCATGCCTCTGAGCCGAAGTAGAGAGGGGTGACCCAGGCGGTGGTGCCAGAGGAGAGTCTCGTGAGACAGGCGACGACACGAACAGGGGGCAGACTCAGGACCAGACCTGGACGCTGCAGCAAACACCTGACCTAACGAAGGGACCCTACCAGACTCAGGAACTGGAGGAGAAGCAGTGGTCAGTGTGTACAGGCTCGACCCTGGCTAACGTGTAAACGTAGCCAGGTGACGGCCTGTGCTAGCCTCTGTGCAGTGCGTCACCCGCTGACGAGCAGGGGTGAACTGGTGGACTCCCGCATCCTGAAGGTCAGCACCACTCACCAAGTTCGTAGAGAATGAGGGGAGGTAGAGACCAGACAGGGTGCCAGAGGGAGCCGCCGGACACGGGAGGACGGTGGAGAAGCGAGACAGGACAGGACCCCCAGAGGGGTCAGCCAGGGACACCGCAACCGGCCGACTAAGCGGCGTGAGTGTGGTGCGGTCCCGAAAGAAGGATCGAGACGCTCCAGAGTCAAGAGTGAAGGTGTGGGAGGCCAAGGCCGACGCAGTACCTGAGGGCGCAGACTCACTGGTATCTGAGAGAGCAGCCTCACCAGTACCTGAGAGCACAGACGCACTGGCACTTAGAGCAGAAGCCTCACTGACACCTAGAGCAGCAGTACCAATGCCCGGGTCGGGCGCGGGCTGCTAAGGGCGGCGCGCGGGCTGCAAAGGGCGGCGCACGGGCGGCTAAGGGCCGGAACGGGCGGCGCGCGGGCGTGAAAGAGAGAGCCCGGAGCGCGCTCCGGGCAGAAAAAAAATCGAAGTAGTGGTGGGCCCTAAGCACAGTTCCCACAGGGGAACCTGCTCGATACCATGAGAAGAATAGAACGAGAATGAAATGACTATGAATGAAGTGGGTACAAATAGGAAACCCTAATGGGATTGTACCCCCTATGGGATACCCCACTATAGCCTACACAAATAAGTAAGCTATAATGTTCTGACAGGTCAGTGCGCCCATAACCCCCCAGGCAAACGCGCCTGTAACCCCCCCTAGGATCGATCGGGGATCTCTTAGTGTAGCTCTATTGACACCCCCCCACAGTGGGAGGCCCAGGACTGAGCATAGTGGCAACGGCCAACATGTGCATACACCGGGATTCGAACCCGAGATCGCTCTGATACCATGTCAGAATCCCAACCACTAGACCATTGGGATAAAAGGGCTTGTTTCAGTAGCGGGTCAGTGCGCCCATAACCCCCCAGGCAAACGCGCCGGTAACCCCCCCTAGGATCGATCGGGGATCTCACAGTGTAGCTCTACTGACATCCTCAGCCGAAGCAGAATACATTGCACTCTGCTCAGCCACCAAGGAAGGACTCTATCTTTGCGAACTGCTGGAAGAAGCAAAATTGACCCAGTTACCCAGCTTCACCCTGTTTTGCGACAACCAGTCGGCAATTCGCATCGCCAACAAGAACGGCTTCGCGAACAGGACGAAACACATCGCCTTGCGATACTTCTTCGTAAAAGACGAAATTGAGAAGGGGAGACTCAAACTGTCATACTGCCCCATATCCGAGATGGCAGCTGACTACTTGACCAAGAAGCTCGGGAAACAGAAGTTCGAGTACTGCATGCTGCTGACCGGACAGAGCCACGTCACCAGCAGCGACACTCCAGAAGCGAAGGGGAGTGTTGGAAACAATTAAACTAAGCGCCTCTATCGTGTCGAAACGCCAAGACACAAGCGAAGCAAAACATTATCGAAGCACCAGCGAGTCTAGCCCTCGGAGGTTGAAGTAACTGTCGGAGGTTACGCGACCTTTGACCTGACAAGTACACCGCGACAGCAAGGACACACAGCTGATTCGTTACAGAGCAGTTGCCCGAGTCGTCACTATATCGAACCGCAACAGCAACAGTAAAGTAGTTATAACAGTGTCTTTTCATATTCCCTGTATTCATATATGATCTCGTATCTATTTGTTTTAATCAATCAACTTTGCCCTCACATACTAGCGCAAGGTGGTTCACAACTCTTCATTAAACGCTTCCGCTTCTATATCAGTTATACCCAGAGTTCACCCCTGCAAAGATCCTAAGGGCTATTTTTCTCAGCCCAACAGTTAATAGGGTAACCAATCCGCACATCAATCGTGACAGATGGTCGATTGTCTACTTTCACCACAACCTCATATTGCCCGAACCTCAGACCTACCAAACCAAGCGTTGACTCAGTTTTTGTAATTCAGGCTTCGGGTTTTAAAGAAGGCTGTTCCCTAACCTAAAAGGAAAGACAATCACCGAGCTACACCTCTCATTTTCTTTGGGCTTCCCTGGAAGAGAAGTTGACGATCCTCTATGTGGGAAAATGACCAATCAAATGTGATGAGAGCAGCAATTTATTAACAGCCGTTCATCTCTACGGCTACGAGTGATTTGCGCAGAAAGGTTTGTTGGATGGTTTTCAAGATTTGAAACCGATCTTCCCGAGGCCAGAGTTGGTGTTGGCAAGCAAGCGGGTGAAGGGTCCCTCAAGCACAAAAAGGTTCTCGCTTCCGTCATTTCCAATGTGCTCAGTTCGTTGTTCGCCCATTGTTTCCTCGCTCGTTCGCTCGCCTTTTCCCACTAGCTCTAAAACATTCTTTCTTTGAAGTCGCCCTCATGGCTCGCACGAAGCAAACGGCCCGCAAATCTACCGGCGGCAAGGCGCCGCGCAAGCAACTGGCCACGAAGGCCGCGAGGAAGTCGGCGCCCGCCACGGGCGGCGTGAAGAAGCCTCACCGGTACCGCCCTGGCACGGTGGCGCTGCGCGAGATCCGCAAGTACCAGAAGTCGACGGAGCTGCTCATCCGCAAGCTGCCCTTCCAGCGCCTGGTGCGCGAAATCGCGCAGGACTTCAAGACGGACCTGCGCTTCCAAAGCTCCGCCGTGATGGCGCTGCAGGAGGCGGCGGAGGCGTACCTCGTCGGTCTCTTCGAGGACACTAACCTGTGCGCTATCCACGCTAAGCGCGTCACCATCATGCCCAAGGACATCCAGCTCGCCAGACGAATCCGCGGCGAACGCGCTTAGAGGACCGCGACTCAACAAATGACTTTCGCCATTGTCGAAAATGGCGTCTAACTCTTACCGAGGAGTGCGCTTTGCGGTTCTCCGTACCGCCGACGACCGAGTATCGCCGTGTAAATTGTTTTCAGTGCTGGCTGAGGCCTCTGTCCATAGTGACGAGCGGGCTGAAGCCTGATTCGAGACTTTGCTTTAAAGTGGAATGGCCCAGGCAAAGCATTAACAATTGTGTTGCCAGCCTTGTAAGAGCTTTCTTTCAATTTGTAATAAACCGTTCTGTTATGTTCATTGACAACGGTATGAACCCTCAGAAACGAAAGATGTTTATGTGAGTCCACCATTGTTCTCCGTGCTTTGCGTTGGTGCTCGGCATATGTGTTCTAGCTGAAGCCTCCGAGCTGCTTGAAGCGTCCCAAGAGCATTCTTTCAAGCAGAACGCGTTTTGTACAACCAATCACCTACTACATTCCGTTGTTTCTAAGTTGTTAAAATTGGTTTAAAAGAATGGTGGTTAACAAGGTCCAGCATGGTGGACTTCTCTATTGCATCTGGGCAACAATGCTCGCGCAATACAAGTTGCACGTGTAGGCTCCCCTCGCTATAGCAAGCCCTAGATTTTCCTGGTTTACATCAGGGTTTGACAAGCTTGTTCCGCGTACGTGAAATAAGAAATTTGTGATGCGGCTTTCAAGTGTAATCATCCTCGCTACAAAGTGGAACCCAAGGCTATCTTCACAAGTGTAAGCTTCATTAACTCACTAACGGCAGCCAATCTGTGCCAATCAGACCGTTCCACTTGGTGCCTCCGTCGCGCATCCATCGCGACTCATGGCGTCCCTCGCCTCCCTCCTCCCGCGAACCCCCTCGCCTGCTTTGCTGCACCGATCCCCACCCCCTCTCCACTCCTTAGTACCCCTCCCGCTTCTCTTGCCCTCCCCGCGCGCCACTGGCCTCTGTCGCCCCTGTTGCGCCGCGCCCCGCTCCGCCGTCGTCCGCACGCCTCTCCCGCGCACACCCGCCCTCCGCCCGCGCGTGGGCGGGAAGGTTCCGCCTTGCCGCGCGGCGGCGGAGTCGGAGGCGGCGGGGGACGGCGCGGGGGAGCGGAAGACTGTGTCGCTGGGGACGGCGGTGCTGCCGGCGGACTGCGATCTGGCGACGCTGGAAACGATGATGGCGCAGGTGGGAATGGCGCAGGTGGGAATGGTGCAGGTGGGAATGGCGCAGGTGGGAATGGCGCAGGTGAGAATGGCGCAGGTGGGAATGGCGCAGGTGAGAAAGGCGCAGGTGGGAATGGCGCAGGTGGGAATGGCGCAGGTGGGAATGGCGCAGGTGGGAATGGCGCAGGTGAGAATGGCGCTGGTGGGAATGGCGCAGGTGGGAATGGCGCAGGTGGGAATGGCGCAGGTGGGAATGGCGCAGGTGGGAATGGCGCAGATGGGAATGGCGCAGGTGGGAATGGCGCAGGTGGGAATGGCGCAGGTGGGAATGGCGCAGGTGGGAATGGCGCAGGTGGGAATGGCGCAGGTGGGAATGGCGCAGGTGGGAATGGCGCAGGTGGGAATGGCGCAGGTGGGAATGGCGCAGGTATACCGCCCCGCTAGACCACTGGGCTTAAGCATTGGTTGTGCAGCGGGCAGCGGTAGCTGTGTAGCCCCTCGTGTAAGCTTGCAGGCGTTACAGGAGGTGAGGCGATGCGATGATGGCGCAGGTGAGGCGGTGATGGCGCAGGTGAGGCAGTGATGGCGCAGGTGAGGCGGTGATGGCGCAGGTATAACGTCTCGCCAAACCACTGGGCTTAAACATTGGTTGTGAGGCGATGATGGCACGGCTGGGGTGATTACCAAGGAGAACCCGCAGTTGTCGGTCGCAGTTGGCGATGACTGGGCAGGATGACGTGGCAGCAATGCATGCACAGCACAGCACATCCATGCGGAGGTGGGTCAGTGAGAATGGCGCAGGTGAGGCTGAGCAGGAGGCACAGAGTGGGGTGGATACCAGACGAGTCCGGGTAAGGCAGGATGACATGACAGGAGTGCAATGCATGGCGCGTGCATTGCAACTGTGAGTGCTTGGTCATTGGGACTGCATAAGGGTACAAACTAACTTAGACCGTCTTTTCTGGATTCGGCACCACCTGTGGTTGACCTTGACCTTGAGCTTCCCACGTGGTGTGGCACAGTGCGCACATGAGTGTGTTCTGCGTGTGCTCGCCCTACGTTGGTTCCCGCGGATGCTCCTATCCTGCAGCAGCACTGCACGCGGCACTGCACGCGGCACTGCACGCGGCACTGCACGCGGCACTGCACGCGGCACTGCATGCGGCACTGCATGCGGCCCTGCATTTAGCAGTGCGCCAGTTGTCGGGCATGCCCGCTTGCCTTTTTTCTTGCTTGCTTGCGTGTAAGCAGCGCCACCACAAGGAGACACAGGGGGCAGGAGGGAATGACACGAGGAGCATGGCGCAGAGACACATGGGGGAATCACCAGCAGGAGCAGCAGGGGCGGGGTTGACTAGCGAGTGGGGCGCCAATGCTGCCAGCTGGATGGGAGGGGAGATGTCGGGAGGGGTAGGATGCAAGGGGGGACCGTACGGAAAGGTTGGCTGATGGGAGACTTCTGCGGCTCACGCGGTGCAGCACAGCACAGTGAGCTTTGAAGCGCCTAAAAAATCAGGACGCGTATTGAGGCGCCTCAAAACAGTGGATGGGGGCCCTGTGAGGCCCATGCAGTGCAGCGTGCATGCTGCGGGGGTGCAGCACAGCAATGCCTGTGAAGGCCGAATGTGAAGTCCCTTTCAGCCCGTAACATACTGCTGCCCACAAGGCCCGGGGAAGGTTCCGCCCTCCACGTCAGCACGGTTCAAGGCTCTAGGATGGTAGCACGGAGGGTGGGAGGTAGGAGCGTCCCAAGGGACACATCCCGGATAGCCTTGGATCCGTGCTGTTAGTGTGCACACTGCACAGCATAGGCGAAAATCGCCTGCTGGCTGGCTGGCTGGCGACGAAGCCTGGATGTAGCAGGAGGCGGAGGTTGAGAGGAAAGGGGGGGGATCATGTCCAACTGTACTCGTCACTATAGAGCGCTCCCCCCTTTCCCTAAGTCCTTTCCCGCTGAACGAGCATGTGGCACTCTTCCCAAATATTTTTGAATCAACTAGAAAAAATCTTGTTCTCTCAGCGTCACTGCAAAGCTTGCACTGCTGCTTTGGACGCTGATATGGCAACCAGGCAGCAACCGCTCTGGCCCAGGTGATGCGTGCGCGTGCCCTTAGCTAGCCATCCACACGTGGGTGGGGCTCAGCTCAGGCGGCAGTGGCAGTGTGCTTTCAGGCAGGCTGCATGTGTGCGTGCGGTGCAGCACGCACACTGCTCGCACATTCCTGGCGCCTCTCCTGGGTGGGTGGATGGGAGGTGCTGAGGGGGGAGGCGGGTTGACGGAGAGCAGGCAGGGAGAGGGGGACTGTTGGGAAATTGGGAGTGAGACGAAAGTGAGATGGGAGTCAAGGGATGAGAGTGGGCTAGAGGAAAGGAAGAGGAGAGATGGGGGAGTGGTTAGAGCTAAAGGAGTAGAATGCAGTTGCTCTCTTCACTCTCTATCCGTCACACCTGCCCTCTCCTCTCCTCTCCCTGTCCCTTCTCGCCTTGGCTGACCCTAATCTTTCTCACAACCCCGCATCCCCTTCACTGCCCTCCCCCTCTTTCTCACTGTGCCATGCTGCACTGTGCTTGCCGCCCTGCCATGCTGCACTGTGCGCGTCACCCTGTGTGCAGTGGGCCACATCTCTCACACAGGACGCCAATCTGCCTCTGCAGTCTCCTCTCACGGTATGCTCACCTCTCCACCTCTCCACCTCTCCACCTCTCCTCCTCTCCTCCTCTCCACCTTCTCCTCCACCTCACTTCCACTGGAGTTTGTTTGCCGCTGCACAACATTGTGGGTGCTCCTGACGTTCTCTCTATCCTGCGTCTGAATTTGGCTTCATCTGTGTACCTGTGTGGATATGCGCGCGCGTGCGTGTGTTTGTGTGTGGCTGGGTGAGTAGTGTGTGGAAGTGTGTGTGGGTGTGTGTGCGGATTGTGAGTGTCGGTGTGTGGGTGTGGGTGTGTTCGGGTAAGAGCGAGGGTGTGCGGGTGTGGGTCTGGGTCTGGGTTTGTTTGCGTGTGGATGTGTGCAAGGCTGGGGATGTGGTTGGCTGGGAAGGGTGGGGGGATGGTTAAGAATGTGAGGGTGCATGTGTGTATGGGTGTGGTTTGTGGGTGTTAGTCAACTGCCCTTCTTCATGAGCACAGATCTGTGAGGGTGCATGTGTGTACGGGTGTGGTTTGTGGGTGTGGCAAGAGCTGTTTTGTAGGTATGTGTGTCCGTGTGTGGGAGAGTTTGAGAAGTTACACCCGTTTCTGTCTGTATTTGGCAATGTGTGTATGGGTACAAGTGTGGGTGCGTGTGCGGGTGTGTGGAGGTGTGAGTGGGTTGGTGGGTTGGCGTGTTTGTGACCGGGTGCTGTGGCGGTTTGGGTGTGTGCGGAGATGCATGGGCGCGTTTGTGGTTGAATGAGTGGGTGGTTTTGTGGTTGCATGTGCGCGTGTGCATGCGCATGTGAGTGTGAGTGAGTGGTGTGGCAGATGGACAGGATATTTGGAGGGATGCAGCTAACCCTACCGGTAACCGACAGCGACACCTTAAAGCCCATACACATCCTAGTCACAGTAGAATCCCCCTCTTTGTCTTGTCTCTGGGTTCGCGTGGCAGGTGGTCAGGATACCTGGAGGAGTACAGCTGAGCCTACAGGTAACCTATGGCGACACTTCCAAGCCCATGCACATCCTAGTCACTGTGGAGCCCCCCCCCTCTTCCTCTCTCGCTCCTTTTCTGTCTGAGTGGTGTGGCAGGTGGACAGGATACCTGGAGGGGTGCAGCTGAGCCTACAAGTAACCGACGGTGACACAACCAAGCCAGTGGACATCCTAGTCACAGTGGAGCCCCCTTCAGGAGACACCCCTGCCATGTTCCGAGCCCTGCGCTCCGGCCCGCACTGCCAGATCACGCCGCCCGGCGAGCCTGCCCTCATGGCCTCCATGCTCTCCGCGCTGCGCAAGTCCGTGGCGCTGTCTCGACCGTCAGGATGATAGTAGTGGAATGACACTGGTAGTGGGATGTTTGTGGGATATGGTGCTGCTGTTACTATCCCTCAAATGCAGCTGCCCTCATGGCCTCCATGCTCTCTGCCTTGAGCAACTCCATGGCGTTGTCTCGACCCTGAGGATGATAGGGGAATCGGGTTCGAAGGTGGCGGCGGTACCACATCTTGGCGGTTTAGATGTTTTTAGGTGCCTAAAAAATCCAGGATGATATGGGGATCGGGCTGGATGGATTGGAAGATGGCGCTCTCTTGGCACTTATAATGATACCGTCGTGAAATATACCATATGCTGGTGCTCTTATCCGTACAATAATGTTATGTTAATGTTTTGAATAAATTATTAACAAAATCATTTTTTCTCTAGGAGTGTTAGCAGAACCGTCAACATTCGATTTCAAGGAGGCTACGTGTAACGTGACAGGTAGGCCTGGGCTGTCTAGTTAGGTGCTTGGGCAGCTTCTAGGTGCGAGCGACACAAGAGGCGTACTTAAATTTCTGGAAAAAAAAAGTCGTCCCGATTCTGATCGTTTCCCTTCGCCAGCACTTTTTGACCTCGCAATCCAATCAAAACGCGTCAAAGGAGGGGGGGGGGGGGGGGTTCCCATAAAAAAGCCCCCCAAAACCCCCTCGACGAATGTGCATCGCCGATTTTGTAAAAAAAAAAGAAAATAAACCAGAGGCAAAGGTTGATCCGAAATGGCTGCTCTGCTCCGCAACCCAGAAAACAAGGAATAGCCGAGTCGGGACGAGCCGGCTGAGCTCCTGGGCCGTCCACTTCGCCAAGTTGGTCGGTCGGTTGAGGACGACTTGGGAACTGCTCATCTTTATCTAGACAATTCGAGATACTGCCAGTGTATGTGGTGATTTCTAGCAAGGACGAGGCGGTCCAATGACGCACACCAATGTCACGCCGCACGATCAGCAATGGTGTTGTGTTAGGTCATGATGTGATGCACCACCCCCAACACCCACTCGCGAATTCGTAACGTGTACCGTATGTAGTACTGTAGACAGGCAGCTTTAGCGAGCTGCCTGTGGAGCGACGTCGTCCATCCATTTTACAAAAAGAGGCTGCCGCTCAATTGCTGCTCATCAACCAACTTTCAGCGGTTCTTCGCATGTGCGGCTGGTGGATGGGGGTGGGGTGGGTGGGGAAACTGGGGGTGGTTGTGGGGGAGGCTAGGGGGAGGGAAAAAGCACAGCAAGGAAGGGAGGAGCTGCAGGGAGGAGTAGCAAGGGAGGGGGGAGCTGCAGGGAGGAATAGCAAGGAAGGGGGGAGCTGCAGGGAGGAATAGCAAGGAAGGGGGGAGCTGCAGGGAGGAGTAGCACGGGAGGGGGGAGCTGCAGGGAGGAGTAGCAAGGGAGGGGGGAGCTGCAGGGAGGAGTAGCAAGGAAGGGGGGAGCTGCAGGGAGGAGTAGCAAGGAAGGGGGAGCTGCAGGGAGGAGTAGCACGGGAGGGGGGAGCTGCAAGGAGGAGTAGCAAGGAAGGGGGGAGCTGCAGGGAGGAATAGCAAGGAAGGGGGGAGCTGCAGGGAGGAATAGCAAGGAAGGGGGGAGCTGCAGGGAGGAGTAGCACGGGAGGGGGGAGCTGCAGGGAGGAGTAGCAAGGGAGGGGGGAGCTGCAGGGAGGAATAGCAAGGAAGGGGGGAGCTGCAGGGAGGAATAGCAAGGAAGGGGGGAGCTGCAGGGAGGAGTAGCACGGGAGGGGGGAGCTGCAGGGAGGAGTAGCAAGGGAGGGGGGAGCTGCAGGGAGGAGTAGCAAGGAAGGGGGGAGCTGCAGGGAGGAGTAGCAAGGAAGGGGGAGCTGCAGGGAGGAGTAGCAAGGGAGGGGGAGCTGCAGGGAGGAGTAGCAAGGAAGGGGGAGCTGCAGGGAGGAGTAGCACGGGAGGGGGGAGCTGCAAGGAGGAGTAGCAAGGAAGGGGGGAGCTGCAGGGAGGAGTAGCAAGGAAGGGGGGAGCTGCAGGGAGGAGTAGCAAGGAAGGGGGAGCTGCAGGGAGGAGTAGCAAGGGAGGGGGGAGCTGCAAGGAGGAGTAGCAAGGGAGGGGGGAGCTGCAGGGAGGAATAGCAAGGAAGGGGGGAGCTGCAGGGAGGAATAGCAAGGAAGGGGGGAGCTGCAGGGAGGAGTAGCAAGGGAGGGGGGAGCTGCAGGGAGGAGTAGCAAGGAAGGGGGGAGCTGCAGGGAGGAGTAGCAAGGAAGGGGGAGCTGCAGGGAGGAGTAGCACGGGAGGGGGGAGCTGCAGGGAGGAGTAGCAAGGAAGGGGGAGCTGCAGGGAGGAGTAGCACGGGAGGGGGGAGCTGCAAGGAGGAGTAGCAAGGGAGGGGGGAGCTGCAGGGAGGAGTAGCAAGGAAGGGGGGAGCTGCAGGGAGGAGTAGCAAGGAAGGGGGAGCTGCAGGGAGGAGTAGCACGGGAGGGGGGAGCTGCAGGGAGGAGTAGCAAGGGAGGGGGGAGCTGCAGGGAGGAGTAGCAAGGAAGGGGGGAGCTGCAGGGAGGAGTAGCAAGGAAGGGGGAGCTGCAGGGAGGAGTAGCACGGGAGGGGGGAGCTGCAGGGAGGAGTAGCAAGGGAGGGGGGAGCTGCAGGGAGGAGTAGCAAGGAAGGGGGAGCTGCAGGGAGGAGTAGCACGGGAGGGGGGAGCTGCAGGGAGGAGTAGCACGGGAGGGGGGAGCTGCAGGGAGGAGTAGCAAGGGAGGGGGGAGCTGCAGGGAGGAGTAGCAAGGAAGGGGGGAGCTGCAGGGAGGAATAGCAAGGAAGGGGGGAGCTGCAGGGAGGAGTAGCAAGGGAGGGGGGAGCTGCAGGGAGGAGTAGCAAGGAAGGGGGGAGCTGCAGGGAGGAGTAGCAAGGAAGGGGGAGCTGCAGGGAGGAGTAGCACGGGAGGGGGGAGCTGCAGGGAGGAGTAGCAAGGAAGGGGGAGCTGCAGGGAGGAGTAGCACGGGAGGGGGGAGCTGCAAGGAGGAGTAGCAAGGGAGGGGGGAGCTGCAGGGAGGAGTAGCAAGGAAGGGGGGAGCTGCAGGGAGGAGTAGCAAGGAAGGGGGAGCTGCAGGGAGGAGTAGCACGGGAGGGGGGAGCTGCAGGGAGGAGTAGCAAGGGAGGGGGGAGCTGCAGGGAGGAGTAGCAAGGAAGGGGGGAGCTGCAGGGAGGAGTAGCAAGGAAGGGGGAGCTGCAGGGAGGAGTAGCACGGGAGGGGGGAGCTGCAGGGAGGAGTAGCAAGGGAGGGGGGAGCTGCAGGGAGGAGTAGCAAGGAAGGGGGAGCTGCAGGGAGGAGTAGCACGGGAGGGGGGAGCTGCAGGGAGGAGTAGCACGGGAGGGGGGAGCGGTGTTGAGGAATAGCGAGTGAGGAGGGAGCTGCAGTGGGTGAGGAGAGGGAGGATGATGGGCTGGGCAGGGAGAAGTTGCCAGGGAGGAAGTGGGAGCTGCATGGAGGTAGGCGTGGAGAGAAGAGATAGGCAAGTAGGGAGTGAGAAAAAGGGAGAGGGCGAAGCAAGATGGGATGAGAGGGTGGAGGAGGGATCAACAGAGAGGGATGGAGAGGTATGGTTTGAGAGATGAGGGTGAAGGATAGAGTAGTAGGGACTGACCGATGAAGGAAGCAGAGAGAGGGTGGTGGACATGGAGGGTGAGACAAACATGGAGTGGTGGGTCGTAATCAAGAAAGGATAAGGGTGAAACCAGGGTGGAGAGATTGGGGGAAGAAACAAACAGGTGAGGCTTTGGAAATGGGTCGTTACTTTTTGATGGCACTGTCGAGCTCGGACAATGTGCCGTCGGTGTGATACCATCTTCGGCATGTCAGCATGTAGCAGTCCACAAATGCTGCGACTGCATCGACAATCTTCTGATCCACAATACCGGCAAGCACGATGGTTGCGACCTGCATCACGGCGCGGTGCTCGAAAGCCTGGAACTTCGCAGAACCGGCAAAATAGCCGCCTTTATCCCGCTTTGGAATACGGAATCCTGAGATGCGGGTTGCATCACCCAGATCCTGCAGTGCCTTGTCAAGAGCCTTCAGCACTCTCGTGTCGTCCTTGTACATGACTCGAATGCATGACACGATGTGCATGAAGATGCCAAGGTCTAGCGCGTGCATGACTTCCACAAGCAGTGCTCGGTAGGGATTTCCGACCTCACTCCCTCCCAAGTTAAAACCCCAAATGGCAGCCTACACAAAAGGAGGGTTCAAAATTGATCAAACGATTTGCACAATGACTCACACACAAATCATGGCCTGAAGAGTGATGGAGATGGGGTGATGAGCGAGAGGGATGGGGTGGGGAGTGAGGAGGATGGACTGATGAGCGAGAGGGATGGGGTGGGGAGTGAGGAGGGATGAGTTGGATGAGTGAGAGAGATTGGTTGGCGAACGCATGAAAATACTTTGCAATGCATACAAGCACATAATGTGGACAACTATAGGTGCTGCAGTACACAGACATCCCCTAAAAGCACTCACTCTGACTGGGTGGGTGCTGATAGCTTTTGAAGCATCAGTTCTTGCAGTCGGGGTAGTGATGGCCAGCAACTCTTCCACCTTTGCTCGTTGATCCGTCTCAGTTCGGTAAACCAAGGGGACTTGCATGTTGCTGATGTCCTCTGTCTTTACCAAGCATTTGTGGCACAGGAATTTTGCTTTATGACTTGCAAAAGTGCCGGCATGTTTGCAAGCCTCAGGTTGATCCGCCACGATAGCATATACGAACGGATACACGACGTACTCAGCTCCGTATGGGTCTTTTACAATCATCCCCCTGTTTTGAAATAGGGGCAGCACCCGAAATACCGGGCATGATGGGCTGATGAGTGAGGGGGATGGGGTGATGAGTGACTGAAATGGGGTGATGGGTGATTAATGGGGTGATGTGTCAAGGAGGAGATGGGGTGAAACCGTGAGGGAGATGGGGCGATGAGTGAGGGAGTTGGGGTGAAACCGTGAGGGAGATGGGGCGATGAGTGAGGGAGATGGGGTGAAACCGTGAGGGAGATGGGGCGATGAGTGAGGGAGATGGGGTGAAACCGTGAGGGAGATGGGGCGATGAGTGAGGGAGTTGGGGTGAAACCGTGAGGGAGATGGGGCGATGAGTGAGGGAGATGGGGTGAAACCGTGAGGGAGATGGGGCGATGAGTGAGGGAGATGGGGTGAAACCGTGAGGGAGATGGGGTGATGAGTGAGGGAGATGGGGTGAAACCGTGAGGGAGATGGGGCGATGAGTGAGGGAGATGGGGTGAAACCGTGAGGGAGATGGGGCGATGAGTGAGGGAGATGGGGTGAAACCGTGAGGGAGATGGGGCGATGAGTGAGGGAGTTGGGGTGAAACCGTGAGGGAGATGGGGTGATGAGTGAGGGAGATGGGGTGAAACCGTGAGGGAGATGGGGCGATGAGTGAGGGAGATGGGGTGAAACCGTGAGGGAGATGGGGCGATGAGTGAGGGAGATGGGGGGAAACCGTGAGGGAGATGGGGCGATGAGTGAGGGAGATGGTGTGAAACCGTGAGGGAGATGGGGCGATGAGTGAGGGAGATGGGGTGAAACTGTGAGGGAGATGGGGCGATGAGTGAGGGAGATGGGGTGATGTGTGACTGAAATGGGGTGATGGGTGACTGAAATGGGGTGATGAGTGCGAGAGATGGGGTGAAACCGTGAGGGGGATGGGGTGATGAGTGAGGGAGATGGGGTGATGAGTGAGGGAGATGGGGTGATGAGTGAGGGAGATGGGGTGATGAGTGAGGGAGATGGGGTGATGAGTGAGGGAGATGGGGTGATGAGTGAGGGAGATGGGGTGATGGGTGACTGAAATGGGGTGATGAGTGCAAGAGATGGGGTGAAACCGTGAGGGAGATGGGGCGATAAGTGAGGGAGATGGGGTGATGAGTGAGGGAGATGGGGTGATGAGTGAGGGAGATGGGGTGATGAGTGATTGAAATGAGATGATGAGTCAGAGAGGTGGGGTGATAAGTGAGAGAGATGGGATGAAGAGGGAGTGAAGTGGGTTCAAGAGTGACTTATAATGGAGGAGACGTTCTAATGGGGGGGGGGGGGGGGGGGAGGGGGGAGGAACATGGGGAAATGAGCGAGTGGGATGGGCTGAACCCGAAAGTACTTGGGATGAGGGTAATATGCTTACAGAATTTGCAGACAGAGGTTTAAATCAGGGCTGAAACTTACTCATGAGAGGCTTTCTTGAGGTCTTCGAGAACATGCTCCATTGCCTTGTGAAACACATCTCGCCAAAACTTTTTTCCAGCCTCTGTTTTGGCATCCACGCCGGTGAGAGGGGGCAGCATAGCTACCTTCCGGTGCCCGTGCGGCTGCCATCTGTTCTTCACCGAAATACTTCCAAGGGTGCAGTATACGGGATGCCCAACTACTCGCCCATCATTGCTCAGGTTGGTTGCATCAGTATAGATGATTACCGGTACAGCTAGCGCTCCTATTGGAACCTTGGATTGCCATTCAATCCAGCAGGTTCCCGTTTCTGGCCCTGCATAAATGCGCTGACCATCCCGAGTGTTAAGTGCTTGAGGCCTGTGAACAAAGTCCAAATGATTTTCGCGGTCGGAAAACATAGATCCCACAGCCTTTGCTAGAGAAGTAACGTACAGAGTCGCACTAACATCGGTCCCCAAACTGACATCTATAGCCTCCCACTCCTGTATCCCGGTCATCTCAGCCAACATCTGCTTCTCGTACTTCTCCAAGGCAGCTCTGTTCTTGAAAGAAGGTTTTACAAAACGGCAATCATGCATGACTGCTAGAATCAAGTTGGTATCATGCGTGGAAAGGCCCATACCTCCGTTGCACTTATTGAAAGCGAGCATCAAGGCCTTGTCTGGATCGTACCTCTCCTCCTCTGGTTCTACCAGCTTCTCCACACCCAGGAAAGCGTTTCTAAGCGGTATCTCCTCTTCTTCCCCCACACTAGGAAATTGGAACGTCGCAGCTGGTGTAGGAGCACGAGTGGCCCTCTCTTCATTTCTCGCCGTGTTTCGCAAGGACTCCAAATTGATGGCTCCATCGGAACGGTGTTGGCGTACATACTCGAACACTTCCTCATCAATACTCTCATCATGCCTGCTGCGTTTCCTACATGCTTGCTGATGGTTCTCCAATCCTCTTCCACTCTTAAACGGTCGTCCGCAACCGCATGTGAACACCATCAAGAGAATAAGAAATCGAATCATTGATTCATTAGTATAGGTACAAGCAGGATCCGAAAGATGCTGAACACCATCTACAACAACGCCCGATCAGGCTTGAGTGCTCTACCTAACAATTTCGTCTAGAAAGAACACCCTATGATGCCGAAATATCTTGAGCAACGGTTGACCAAAGCTCCTGCATAAAGGAAACCGAGAAAACTATATCAGACTATGTAGTCGTCCCTTGAAAGAAAGCGGGAAATCTGGAAAAACATGATCTCTAGATAAGCTGAGCCACAATGTAATGAACCTACAGTGTGCCTTAACGGTTGTTAAAAAGCGGGAACGTCGGCGCCAAGATAGGACTAACGGCTGGAGCTCTAACCTAAAAACCTAGACTTAGACGAAGATGTTGGAACATGTTGGCTGAAGTCAGAACAAGGCACAGAGTGAGAGCGTGTTTGTCACTGTTGTTCAAACTAGATTACGGGCCTGGTTACCTGAAACTATGACGCTCAACCTAACTGTGACAAAGCGAAAGCGTATTTCAGTCAACTCAGCCCTGGGTTTTGATCGCGCCCTAAACCCCCGTGTCAGAACGTCACAATTTTCCAGTGTGCGAACCGTGAACCACGCAAGCGACGCCCCCAACCTGCAGGTAACGGGTCGTTAATGCCTTTTCTGCTTGATTCTGATTTCGGCAGATTTCGCGGGAGTTCAAGGCGTCGTCAACACACCGCGCTTCTCACCCGTTCGTTGAATAGCCAATCAAGTACTTTCAACGTTTCTTGTTGCGCCTCTTCCAGTCACAATTTCACCGTTGTCAGTTTTTTTCAATTCGGTTTCGCTTAGTTTAGAAGAAAACCAATCACATGTGCGCATGTGTACAGTCACAGCCTCATGCCCCGTCCTTTCGTGCCTGAACTTTTTCAATCTCGCTGCTATTGTCCACGTGTCAACCAGGTTTTCGATGGAGCAACTGCTGTCAGATTTATATGACATAGTTGCCGTAGGCTATACTGGGGTAGCACATATGGGGTACAGGTTTCTAGGGTTGTATTTGTACCCAATCTTTCCTTAGTCATTTTCATTCCTCTCTCAACTCAACATGGTATAGAGCGGGTTCCCTGTGGGAACTTAGCCTAGGGCCCACCGAAGCGCGCCCCGAGGCGCGCCAACTTTTTTTTTCCTCTCGCTCGAGCGACCCTCCGTGTCGCCCTTCCCTCGCGGCCCTGCCGCCCTCTCTGACGCGGCCCCGCCGCCATTTCTCGAACGCGGCCCCGCCGCCCTCTCGAACGCGGCCCCGCCGCCCTTCTCGAACGCGGCCCCGCCGCCCTCTCGAACGCGGCCCCGCCGCCCTTCTTGAACGCGGCACCGCCGCCCTCTCGAACGCGGCCCCGCCGCCCTTCTCGAACGCGGCCCCGCCGCCTACTACGACGCGGCCCCGCCGCCCTCTCAGACGCGGCCCCGCCGCCTGCTCACCCGCGGCCCCGCCGCTCGCTACGGCGCGGCCCCGCGGCCTGCTCTGCCGGCCCCGCAGCTGCGCCTGACGGCCCCGCAGCTGCACCCGCCGGCCCGCCGCAGCACCTGACGGCCCCGCCGCTGCACCTGCCGGCCCGCCACTGCACCTGCTGGCCCGCCGCACCACCTGACGGCCCCGCCGCTGCACCTGCTGGCCCGCCGCACCACCTGACGGCCCTGCTGCTGCACCTGCCGGCCCGCCGCTGCACCTGACGGCCCCGCCGCTGCACCTGCCGGCCCCGCCGCTGCACCTGCCGGCCCGCCGCACCACCCGACGGCCCCGCCGCTGCACCTTGCCGGCCCGCCGCTGCACCTACCGGCCCCGCCGCCCCAGCAGCCGAGCCGCCGTAGCAGCCGAGCCGCCTCCAGCAGCCGAGCCACCGCAGCAGCCGAGCCGCCGCTGTAGCCGAGCCGCCCCAGCAGCCGAGCCGCCCCGAGCGCCGAGCCGCCCCAGCAGCCGAGCCGCCCCGAGCCGCCGAGCCGCCCGAGCCCTCCCTGCACTGCCCTGTCTGGTGAGCACTGAGCTTTACTCTGCGCACTGCCCTCACCCTACTGCTGTCATGGCTACCCCCAGTGTTCTCACTTTTGACGCTGAGGGCAGAGCCATCGACTTTGACGTGTGGGTAGACGACCTACTGCTTTTCCTACAGTGCGACAGAGCTGACGGACTCTCTCTCTTTGATCTCACCTCTGGTGCCTCTCCCGCCCCTGCTGCTACTGAGGATGCCACTGTTCGCTCACAGTGGGCCACTCGCGATGCTGCTGCACGTCTTGCTGTGCGTCGCCACCTCCCCCCTGCTGAGCGTGCGCACTTTGGGTCGTACAAGAGTGCTAAGACCTTGTACGACGCCGTTATTGCACGCTACTCCACCCCTGCCACTGCTGCACTGAGCCGCCTCATGCTACCGTACCTCTTTCCCGACCTTGCTGCTTTTGCCACAGTCGCCGACCTCATTACCCACCTGCGCACTAGTGACGCTTGCTTCCGCGCTGCGCTTCCTGCTGAGTTCTGCGCCAAGAAACCCCCCCCAAGTACTTCACTCTCTACTACATTGTCACCCGCCTCCCTGACTCCCTTCGAGGAGTCAGGGACGACTTACTCTCAGTCTGCCCCACCACTTTCACCGTTGAGCTCCTCGAGAAGTCCCTCCTAGCGGCCGAGAAGAGCATTCTCGCTGTAGGGGCCTCTCGTGGTGACCCGCGCACCCCCATCTTTGAGGGGTGTTCCCCCTCCCCCCTCCTGCCCTCTATTGCCTCTGCTGCTACGGCCGACCTAGTTGGTTTTGAGTCGGTCGGTGCGGCGTCTGCCCCCAGTGGGAGACGTCGCTCTAGCAAGAGCAAGGGAGGCAGGGGCGGTGGGGGAGGCGGCGGGGGCGGTGGAGGCGGCGGTGGAGGCAGCGGAGGAGGTGAGGGTGGTAGCGGGAGTGGTGGCGGGAGTGGAGGTGTCAGTGGCGGCAGTGGAGGCGGGGGCGGCAGTGGCGGTGGTGGTGGGGGTGGAGGCGGAGGCGGTGGTGGCGGCAGCGACGGTGGAGGTGGCGGTGGCGGTGGAGGTGGTGGCGGTGGCGGCGGAGGAGGCGGCGGAGGGGGCGGCGGCGGTCGTGGCTCGTCGCGGAGGAGTGGCTCCGGTGGTGGTCAGCGCCAGCAGCAGCAGCGTGGTCAGGAGACCCTCTCCCCGCAGCAGCTCCGTGAGTGGTACGCTGCACGTCAGAGGAGTAGGGGTACTGGTCCGTACACCTACGTCCTGCGCACTGGCGACCGTGCGGGTGAGCAGTGTGGTGGTCCTCACTCCGTTCAGCGCTGCTTCGGCCGCCTGACTGACGCTTGGCGCCGCCAGTTTCCTGACGCCTCTAAGATCCCTCGCTGGGACCAGCTGTCTAGGGCAGGAGTAGCTTTCTTTGATCTTGACTTTGATGCTATTCGTCGTGCCATGTATGCTGTGACTATTAGTGAGGAGGGTGACCGTTACCGGTGTTTCCCGCCCGAACCGGGCATTGGTACTGCGGCTCTAGGTGCTGTTGAGGCTGCTGCTCCAGGTGCTGGTGAGGCTGTCGCTCTAGGTGCCAGTGAGTCTGTGTCCTCAGGTGCTGGTGAGTCTGCTCTCTCAAGTACTGCGTCGGCCCCGCCCTCTCTCACCTTCACTCTTGACTCAGGGGCGTCTCGCTCCTTCTTTCGAGACCGCACCACACTCACGCCGCTCAGTCGGCCAGTGGCGGTCTCCCTGGCGGACCCCTCTGGGGGTCCTGTTCTGGCTCGCTACTCCACTATCCTGCCGTGCCCTGCGGTCCCGTCCGGCGCCATGTCCGGTCTCTACCTCCCCTCGTTCTCTACGAACTTGGTGGCGGGTGCTGACCTACAGGATGCAGGGGTTGACCAGTTCACCCCTGCGCGCCGACGGGATACCCACTGCACGGACGCGGACACGGGTCGACACTTGACCACGTTCACACGTGGGCCGGGGTCGAGCCTGTACACACTCACTGTTCCGTCTCCTCCTCCTGCGTCTGGTCAGGTAGCAGCGTCGGGCCAGGTGTTTGCTGCAGCGTCCAGGTCTGGTCCTGAGTCTGCCCCCTGCTCGTGTCGCCTCCTGTCTCACGAGACCCTCCTGTGGCACCACAGGATGGGTCACCCCTCCCTGCCTCGTCTCCGGGGCATGGCCTCTCGCCTTCTTGTCTCTGGTCTTCCTCGGTCCCTCCCTCCCCTTCCTCCGGGGCCTGGTCCTCCCTGTGTCCCCTGTGTCGAGGGTCGCCTGCGGGCTACCCCTCACTCCTCCCCCTTTCCTCCGACGGAGGCCCCGATGCAGACGCTTCACATGGACGTGTGGGGCCCAGCCCGCGTCCGTGGACAGGGTCACGAGCGCTACTTCCTGCTGGTGGTTGACGACTACTCGCGTTACACCACGGTCTTCCCCTTGTGCAGCAAGGGTGAGGTCACTGAGGTGTTGATCGACTGGATCCGCGCAGCTCGTCTCCAGCTCAGGCGGAGCTTCGGCTCGGACTTTCCTGTTTTGCGTCTGCACTCGGACAGAGGCGGAGAGTTCTCCTCCGGCCTTCTGCGAGCCTACTGTCGTGCACGAGGCATCCGCCAGACCTTCACGCTTCCGGACTCTCCACAGCAGAATGGGATTGCTGAGCGCCGCATCGGCATTGTCATGGATGTCGCCCGTACGTCCATGGTGCATGCGGCTGCCCCCCATTTTCTGTGGCCGTTTGCGGTGAGGTACGCCGCGCACCAGATCAACCTTCAGCCCAGGGTCTCCAGACCGGAGACCTCCCCAGCTCTGCTGTGGACGGGGAAGGTTGGCGATGCGTCGGCGTTCCGGGTCTGGGGATCTCGGGCGTTTGTCCGCGACTTGTCTGCGGACAAGCTGTCCCCTCGTGCTGCTCCTTGCGTCTTCCTGGGTTTCCCCCCTGACGCCCCTGGGTGGCAGTTTTACCACCCAGCCTCTCGTCGTGTTCTGTCCTCCCAGGACGTCACGTTCGACGAGTCGGTCCCCTTCT